AAACGCAAAAAAGTCGAACAAAAACTCATCACCACCAACATACGATTCACGAATAGGCTTAGGTCTATCTGGGGGTCGTATTAAAACATCCGAGATCTCTCAAACTCCTCATATATTTGCGACGAAGCATTTCTCAGTCGATCCTATACCTCCGGCCTTACTATCTGATCTGATCGTGGTCAGCTTCATGATAATGGTGATAGGGGAATGTGTCGAGAGATGGAGACGATACAGACCGCTAAAGCGACTGAGAATTCTCGTTGAAGTGAAGACTTTGTTACTCAATCTCAGCTCTCCAGACTCTACAGTGAGAGCTGGAGGTTCGTAGGGGACATCACCGACAGGTGATGAAAATAATACCCCTTTCGGTTTTGGTGGTGGCGCCGTGAAAAAGATTTCTGACGTGAAATATACCATTTTGGCTCCCTAACTCGCAATTTCGAAGCGCAGCGTCAAAATATCGGGAATTCTGATGAGAAGGATTGATGAAGGTGGTAGCAATTAACGAAACGATTCAATAACTTTCGTGGAACATGGTGCCAAGTTTGATCATATGATGATGTTTTTTTCAAGCGATTTTTTATTTTTGTTAGTAAATTTTAAATTTTTATTTTGAATTTTATTTCATTTAACCCGATCAGGCACCCTATGGGTCCATGCAGGTGACTATCTTCATTATTTACAAAGGAGGAAACAAACTTGGTGAAATCCCCCTGATCCTGTCTTTTTATGTTCCTATCAATTTATTTAGTTTACCTTCAGGAAGTGCAATGTACACTGTTTAGCCAGTGTGGATTCCATCCTTTCCCCCTCCAGATCGGTTTATTATATCCGAAATTGCTACCTCGACTTCCTCTGCAAGTCGAAACTGTTTTAACCATCCTTTGCTTAGTATCCACTGTATGATTCTAGCCACACCCTCTGGGCTGTTTATCATGGCTTCAAATGACCTGTCTTTATCTTGTCGGAGAAAGTCACCTCTTCCACCTGCCCGCTGCGGACATGCCAGCACCATATGCTTGACATTTTGCGACGGATATCCACATTGACAGCTTGGCTTTTCTACTCCGGGTACTTTTCTTCTGCTCAGGTAAGAATTGAGTCCGATATGCCCGCTTCTTAGCTGAATGGCGACACTGCTTTGGGCCCTGGTTAGGCTACGGTGGATTATTAAGGGTGTATCTTTGAAGTTCATTTTGACGCTGCCTGTTTGTTTATCAGTAAATATATTTGCCGCTTTCCAATGTTCTGGATCGGCTGATGCTGGTCGGCCAGGGCACTGTTTCCTGTTCTGGCTTGTCCCTGAATCCTTCCACTCCTGAAAGGCCGCTATCTTTCCAGCTTCTTTCTGCCTTCCCTTGTCCTTTTCCCTTGCGCAAGTTCCTGTCCACTCGGCGATATCTTTACTCTTGTTCAAAGCATGCGGGGTTTCTCTCCCGTTTGCGAGCAGCTTTATCCTCTTACATATCGATCGGATTGTCTCTTGAACTGAGACTTTAGCTGATAGTCCGGCGTGCTGTACCGTTTTAATTTTATATTATTTGATGAAAGTCATGTGATATCTCTGTATTTGTATCACATGTCTCGCTTAGAACTCCACACTTTTTGTAATTGTAAACTAGACGTAACATTCTTGTAATAACTAAAAGAACAGTAACGATATTATATATAAAATCTTATTATAAAGAAACTTATTTCGAGAACAATTATCCACACGCAGCTGAATTAATAGCTGGTATGAAGTATACTCTTAATTCCACTGTCGCATAAATATTCAACATTATTAATAAAACAAATTTTTCAGTCATCTTGATTTGGCGTCTTGAGGCCTATGCAGATTTTTTCGGAAGATATGTACTTTAAGTAAGATGACTCAACTTGACGTTTAGAACACTCACATTCAGACTTCATTTGTAGATACCGCACGAGTTCAACTCTTTCGGCATACAATCTCTTCCGTGCATGCCTACCATAGTGAAAAAGATGTAAACCCTGAGACTTTCCGAATGTGCTTTCATCCCCCCAAAAATACGATACCACCGCTAGGGAGAATAGTGTGTGGATTCTTTGGATCAGAAACAGCTTTCTCCTATCTCAAATGGGACAGGTGGCAAGGTAACCCTGGACTTACTTAGGAGAACGGCCAGAATGGTGTACCATTGCACCATCCGACCTAACCTTACCCAAGACATGAAAAAAACAACCTTAGAATGATAGACTGTATACACTAAAGAATTAAGTTGAGAGAAGTATGATTGCTTCGTTCACCTGGACTTGATCTGATTCTGCACTAGCGTAAGGTCTAGACCGGTCTAGGCTACTCTGGCCCTCGAGCTGGTTGGAGTTAGTGATCTATTTATGATCGACGATCTAGTCTAGACTAGCTCAGCTTGAATGAAACGTTTTAAGATTGTGGAGTACTACGAGTTTACGTGTAAGGGTTACGAGATAGCTTGGGGTAGAATATGAACTTAAAGCACGTCTGTAATCTTTAATGGACGATTGCCTATCAAGTTCGTCAAGCCAGATGCACGTTTGATGTTCTTTTTTATGCATCAGATTTTATCAGCGTATCTTGCTCTTAGCTATGATACAGTATCGGACTAAAGGCACAGAAAAGATGACTCAGTTCACGAGTGATTGTTGTTCGCAGCTAGCCGATAACTCCCTATGAATATAAATACGTCTACATAGCATTACATAATAAGAAGCGCAGATCTCAGCTAGTATTCTGTGAACCGGGAATCGTAGCTGCGACATCGCATGCAGAGTGGCCAACACAGAATTGTGTCTGTGCTTTATTTGTCGTGGCTACCTAGCGCCTGCAGGTTTTCTACGCCTCCAGGCTACTCGCGTTCTACGAGAACGCCTTTGATTACCTACCACCCCCAAGCAACGAAACAAACGTAGCTGGTGAACACCACCATGACTGGATGGTGCGGTGGTGCATTGTCTCAGACGGTTGACCAAATAAAGTCTGGATAGCTTGAACACATACCCCACTCGAGACAGTAGATCGCTCGCTCAAATCTGGCGAAACACAACCGAATTTCTCGTGGCGCTAGTATAAATGGATGATGAAGGCATGATTGGATAACCAAAGGCATTGAAATTTCCTCTGGTGGGTACTTAAGGAGGAATGTCGATTGTTTGTGCAAGCGAAAGTCCCTCAGAGTGGCATTTGCGACCGAAATACAGAGTATGAGTGTCTCTAATGTCAAAAGAGCCATCCAACATGTATACATACCACCGGTTGTATGTCATAGCTAGATAGCTGCTTACACAATAAATGATAAAAAAAACATAGCTGGCCTGCCTCCAGGATTTTTTTACATCAGATTTTAACTGCGTATGCAGCTATCTAGCTATAACACAATATCAAAGAAAAATACAAAATAGATGACTCAATATAAAGGAAGAACACTCATGCCTCGGATTTCATTCGCAATCACCACTGGGCTCCAGGGTTCATTGCAATAGTTATATTGGTAAGTTGCATTTAATGATGAAATAAATTTCGAGACGTATCTTCTGATGTACATCCTGTTATAGTCGTAGACTTACATGGGATGTAAATAGGAGTAAAAAAACATTATAAATATAATTGTCTGCGGGGCTCTCCAATTACCGTCAAGAGGATTTAATCCGTAAACATAGCTGCCCTGCTGAAATTTTGAGAGAGGCGAGTCATCCGAACCTAGCGGAAATTTTTGTATGTAAGAATTAATGCATCACATAATTAGTTTTTCTCTTGCTATGCCTCCCATACAACTCCCCTCAAACAGTTTGTCCACTTATAATTCCTCATTCAATCATACACTCGCAGAAGCCTTTTGCCCTTTGTTATCTTCCGCTCTCCAGCCAAAAAAACTATCGCCATGAGTCTGCGGTGTAAAATAGCCTGGCCTTGCCTATATAATCCGTCCTAAGTGACGGGAAATGACATAGTCAATTTGCAACAGACGACTCCTGGCCTGTGGTTGGACATTCTCGGCTCTGCAGATTATACGGTGAAAGCTGACAGGTTCTGAGTCTTAGTCTTGCTGGTGAAACGTGCCATCTCCGCCTATAATAGGCACCCATTTGCCTATGAACCTTCATCGCTGCAGGCCTGCTCTGCCGATCTAAAGTAGGCGAAATGTGGCCGGTGGTGATCCGTCTGGCTGTCCGTTAGAGGAGCAAACATTCATTTAAGTGGAGTCTGGAGCTGATAGAAGCTTGGCTCAAATATACTGCAAAAACCTGTCGATGTAGATCAGCGACGTGATTAAGTAGTGTGATCCTAAGCTTCACTCTTGTCGCAGTGGCGATTCGTTGGAGGTTACATGAGAAGCTGCCTGCTCACACTTCTATTCCACCTAGCTAACTGATGTCCACTGTCATGTCGGCATAATTGGCCGGTAGATAGATGACCTTGGGTGCGCATACACATCACCGAGAAGCGCGACAGAAAAGCCACTGGCTCAGCAGCAGTCGATTCTACAAAGCTTATTAGTTCCACCAGTCCACCCTAGAAATCCAACACATTTGTTTTTTTGGTTTCCACGATACTGGAAAATTCAGTGTTCATGACTCATGAAATCTGACACTCAACATTGACATAAATTATCCGTATCTGCCTCGGATACATTCTGAACCATTAAAATAATCTCCATGTCAGATGGTAGACATGGTCCTTCTTAATGTGCTCCACTTGCACTGGAAACGTGTGAGAGATTGTTTACTAATACCATGACAGCTCAAGTCAGACTCTTATTGTGGGTAGGGACACACTAGCAAACCACTGCATGTGAAAGGCTTGGCCGGATTTATTGGCTGGATGCATTCTCACGCAAAAACAAGTGCTACATGGAACAGGTGGGGTCCAACTTGGACCCTCTAGCTGTCTCAGCACTAGGGCCAACAGCTGTATCCCATGTCCTGCATTCTTCGCCTTTGACTGAGAGCTTAGGCCTCGTCTGAATACAGCTCTCGCCGTATACCATCATCGAACTCCCCTCATGCAGCGGTGGAAAGATGGGTGTCGTCAATCTCTACACATCACCACTACTCATCTTCACTTCTACCGCGCTCATGTCCATCGATTGTAATGTCAACTTCGTCAAGGGCTTTCCAGTCATTAAATAGTCAGCTTACCACAAAAGTACATGTGGAATAAAATGTGTAAGTGCCGTGCGCGTGGAGGCGACAGTAGCGCTCTACCATGACTACCCTGATCCTGATCTACCTGTCGGTGCATAGCTGTAGATGAAATTAGCACTATGGTGTACGTTTCTATCTATTCTCACGACTCGATGCAGATATCGATGAATTTAAGCCTGACGAAATTATCCTTACAGTCTTCTATTTCCACATGAGGAGCCAGATGCCGTAGCAAAAGGCTCTTCCCTCCATCGTGTCGCCAAGCAAGTCTCGGTACGTCATTTCGGGCAATATCATTTTCTCTAATGTTTTCTTAGCCAAGCTTCTCCTACGCTGATAAGCTTACGGCTGAAATCGTGAATCTTTCTAACAGAAATGTTCCCTACGGCCACGCCATTAACGGATTTCTTTACGTTCCAGACCTATCTAATGAAAATAATTGTACCGATATTGCGGAGCCGCATATTCCAGCCAATGCAACTCGACGAGCAAGCCTGCCGCCCAGCGATTACACTCTCATAGCAGTAGCACCATGGCTTTCTGCCAAGTGTACCTTATCGCTAATGAAAGCTGCAAGTATGAGCCCCACAAGAGGCTTCATATTCTATCTTCCCAACGGTGGGCTGGAAAAGTCACCATCTAGTAGTTCAATTGTATGGGACCTTGGAGATAATGAAGCTTGGAAAGACACATTTCAATTTCCGGTTTACGCTATTCCAACTATCATTGGCGCACAGCTGATGACACAACTGGGACTTTATTCTGGTAATGTGACGGAAGTACCTCATGGCTATGAGATAGCAGGCACAACCGGTACCGATCCAAGAGATTACGTACGGCTCTATACGGAAATTAAAATTGCAAACGACAATCGACTCCCACGATTTTGGGCACTTCAAATCTTCACAATGTTAGTCGTGGTTTCTGGAGGAGTAACGCTTTTGATATATTTGATGCAAAATAGTCATCAGAAGTCTTTGCGTCGGAAAATCAAAAGTGGTAAAGTCAATCTCGGAGCTAGTAGATTCAAGTGCTTGCGTGTACCAGCTTCAGACATCGAAAAACTTCCACTCTTCACTTATTATCTTGACAAAAAAGAAGCGCAGTTATCAACAAATTCAATACCAACAAGCATATCCTCACCTATAGACAAGGAATCATTAGCCTATCCACTTCAGCCCTTGGTATATGTAATCACAACAATGACCCATCGGTCAGAATCATTTCCTTACAAGAGATTTCTACCGCACCATCAGCCAATTTGTGCTTTCTGTTTCGGCGCATTTCGCTCGGGTATTTCTCAAGTTCGTGAACTCCCGTGTCATCACATTTTTCATCCTACATGCATTGATTCCTATCTAAATTCCTGTTCCTCTCTCTGTCCAATATGCAAGCAAAGTGCACTTTCGCTTGCATCTTATCAAGTAGAGGCAGCAAACGTCAATGTATATCCTGAGAGAGTATCAATAAGTAGATAGCACAGCTCTCTCAGTAGTAAAGATAAAAAAGAAGAGAACCTCCAAAAAATCTGTATGCGTATCGCCTGGCTTATTAGGTTCTCTTGGAATCCGCCGCAGTATCATTTACTTGATAAAAATTTGCTATCACAGTGTCTTTTTACCGCTGGTTGGTTTATGTGTTATTTTTGCATCTCTAATAGAACAACTATGCAGAAGTGATCGATGAAGGAAGGTTCAAATCATTGGAACAAAGGCCTCCACTGCCATATACCTAAGTATGACATCAGCTAGATCCTACTTTGAAGTTTAAGCAATGAGATCGAAGCGTAATCAAAGTTGAAACTTTATGAGATCGACCAATATAAAAAGACACAAAATATTTCATGTGATCTTTAAGGCGTTGGATATTTTGGAAAATAAGATTTGAAGATCGGAATGCAGCGTCATACAAAATTATGACTTCATGCTTTGATACTATTTGTTTACATTTTCAACTGGTCAGGATGGATCAATACCGGCGTTAACTTTGGTCGGAAATGGTGGAGTTTGATACGGTAGTGGTTGACGCGAAATATTAGGGTGCGTAAAAATATTTTTTTAAATAGCTCAAATATATAGTCAGTCGTCTAGAAATTTGAATATAGAACTGTATCTTTTGTATCATCTCGTCGTTTACATCTACAGAACACAGTGATGCGACGCGCAATAGTTTTACAACCACCAGATAGCAGAGCCCGTGTGGATAAGACGAATACCATGGTCGCCACGATTTCTTATTTTTTGCATCAGATTTGAATTGCGTACGCAGTTATCTAGCTATGACACAACATCAGAGAAAAAGTACTTAATTGATGACTCAAAATAAACGAGAGCATTCATGCCTCGGATTATATTTGCAAGTAACACTGCGGAGTTATGGTAGCTTTTCCTTCACATCACGTCAACCCTCATCAGCGAATACCCACCCAGGGAAACGTATCAGAAATCCCGAGTTTTCTAGACATGCGTCCTTCATTCATTGACGTTTCTTCGAGCGAGATTTAATCTTAGGCGTCTTCTTCCCAAATGGTGTAGGTTCCCAGGCTACTCAAACTATACCGCAGAACATCACCAGGAGGCGAACCATAGCACCTTCAATTATTGGCTTGTGTTTATAGTGTTAGCTATGCTCCTGCAATCGAAATCTTGAGGCGCACAATGCTCTTCAATTTGTAATTCTCCTTGTCAAAATTCCAAATTTTACGCCCGTCGAGATTATACCCATCTTTTGCATCATCTGATGAACTTGTCCTGGTCTCTCTCACGTTCATCCCAAATAACTTCCTCCCGAATTTGTGCGCTACTATTTTTGTCCTGCGAGTATTCGTATAGTCGTGGGCGTATATTCAGTGACCGACTAAGGCCTGAGAATAGTCGATGAGAGGTGTGGTCATTGAAATGAGTATGTACTTGGTCGTACTTGTAGACCTGATAAAGCTTTGATAGGAGACGATCTAGTTGCGGGTGAAAATTTGACATGATGGAGCACTTTGAATCATTGCCTCGTGGGCGAACTCGTTCCATATTACGAAATTTGACTGAACTTGGCTCTGGGAGAAAATCTCACTCCCAGGTTCGTAGAGGACATCACGCACAGGTGTTCAGTCTTTGCCCTCCATAAATGCCATTTGTGCATATTGGATTGATCTTTCAAATTTGGAGACTCTCGTGCTCTGGATTTCACTCGCAAGTGTCACTTTGAGGTTTAATTGCTCATACCAATAGTCCAATATACTCTGTAAGGGTCCATTAGGGGGAAGTTTCTAAAACGCTTGGTTTCCAAGGATGCCTTTGTCCCGTGTGCATAACAGCACCGCGATAAATTTCATTTACTCATGATGGACTCGAGTCAGCGATCTCCTGTCTCAAGTGGAATGTGTATATTACTTTATTTTATTGTCATCTCTGAATCTACGATTGTAGTGGATATACAGGTCCTCTTTGCCTACAGGCCAAGGGTACCTATGCTAGTAGCATATCTCCTCCTATTCCTCCCATACAGCTCCACTCAAACAGCACCACCCCTCACAAATCCTCATCTGATCACACACTTCGAGAAGCCTTTTACCCTTCATTATCTCCCCTCTCCAGCCAATGAAACGATGGCCATTTGCGGGTGTACGGCAGCCGGGAAAAATCGCAAAAACCACTGGGTGTGAAGCTCTCCTGATACCGACATTAGGACTAAATCCGAAGATGTAGTGTCCCTTCTGAAGCGTTCGAAGAGGCCGGCTAGATGGGTGCTACAGACTTGTGGGTACCTCGGAGAATTCACACTCTACCTTTCTAGCCTCCTTCCAACTCCATCCCGAAGGTCGTGCTGAAATGTCAGAAAAGTCTTGACAGAGCGTGATTGCTGTATGGTGGCTTAGCCCAACTTCTTTTATACCGTCCGGGGCTCTGGGAAGTGTCGTTAACTCATCGACATTAGAAGTCCTCCTGGCGAATTTACCGAAATCTCGATCTCGGCGCCCACAAACGTTCCAAAGTCAAAAACATCTCTAAAATCCGACCTACTATTGCCACAGAAGGCCTATTCCTTAAGTCTTTCCACGCCCCAGTCGCTTGTACCTCCTCAAGATGTGAAGCTGTTGTAAAGGTAAGAGCTTGCGGAGGTTAATCGGCAGAAGGTTTACGAATGATTAAGGATGAATCAATGTGAACTGCTGATATATATGGTATTCAGACCTATGAGGGTTTAGGAGGTAGAAAGCGCTAATTATATACACATCTCAGGGCTGGATGGTGTAGTGGTACACCATTCGGGCCGTTCTCCCAAGTAGGTACTGGGTAGCTTGAACACCTATCCCATCTAAGACATGAGAAAGCTGGTTCGAATCCAGTCAGATCCATACACTACTCTCTCTCGCGGTGATATTGTGCTTGTAGGGTGATGAGAGCACACTCGGTTCGCCACAGGGTTTTCACGCTTTTCCCTGTGGTGGGTATGCACGGAAGAGGTTATACGCCGCAAGGGTTAACCTTGAGTGGTATCTGCAAATGAAATCTGAGTGTGAGTGTTCTAAACGTCAAACTGAGTCATCCTACTTAAAGTACATATCTTCCGATAAAAGCCTGCATGAGCCTCAAGGCGCCAAATCAGGATAATGAACTATATATATATATACACATCTGAGGTAGCTAGACTCTCGCCTTATGTACCCAAAACAGTATCACGGAATATTCTAGTCTCCTCCATCTGGTAGTCTTTTCTAGAAAAACTTTCCATTCAGTGCTCTATTGATCCTCTACTCATCATGGAGCCACCTGGAAAGTTCTTCCTCCACTCTCAGTGATCATTACCCTCGTGCATCGTAATCCTAGCCATCACCAGCACAAAAGAAGCCTCATTAGAGCAACGGTCCCTCATAGACCAAGACCCGATTTTTTTATATTATGACTTAATTTCCTTCTTGCGGGTATACGTAGCGTCGTAAACTTGTAGTCGGTGATGGCTGGTAATCAATGAGGCAAGCTCCTGTTTGTAATTGGGGTGACACCTTTATCGATCGTCGAGGCGAGATGATGTGTGGTTAGAAAGAGGTTGAGGATTCAGAGGATAATGTTAAGTACTGCATGATTGAGAAGTCTTCAAATGGAGATATGCAGAGCCTAGGGAGCGATTACACCCGCACCACTGGAAGATGAAGAATTCGTCTTTGCCGGCCTGTCTAAACTATATTCTGTAATAAGAAAATCTTGTGATTAGTATTAACGTCAAAGCGCATTAATACTAACCTCACAACTCATGGCAGATTAGTGACGTGTCTTCTACACATCCTTATCTTAGCCATAATTGGAAGCACCAATTTCAACATTATTAAAAACCTACCATCATGTCAATGCCCGTTGTAGGACAGAAATTGTGGCGCACAACGTTAGGAAGAAGTTCTTCGGGATAGACGTGAGAGAAATCAGGAAATTTTCACAAGATAATGCGAGAGAAGGATGCAATCCTTACATATGTGAGACTTTGAAATTTGGCATAGAGATTTACAAATTGAAGAGAATTATGAGCGCTAGTACTTCGATTGCAAAATTGACGCTGATGTTAGAATATAATTCCTTTAGACGGGTAATAAAGTAGTACTGGAAGTAGAATTGATAAAGTGTAGGGTTAACAGAACGTGTATATTACTCTGCTCACTCGGCATTTTTGAGTGCTGCGACTATGCTCCTACTAATATGTGTCTAACAGCCTCGCCTACACGCTAATATTAAACTACTAATACAGGGTATATAAGATCTCCAAACATCTTACCCATTTTACTCTTAGGTAAACAATAATCACAACCATAACTCCATTATATTAAGGCACAGGGGGGATTGTGTTTGACCAACACTCTTATAGTTTAACAACTGACACTATAAAAACTAGCCAACGAGGGAAGACGCCATGGTCCGCCTCCTAGTGGTGCTCTTTTTTTTGCATCAGATCTTCATTGTGTATGCGGCTATCTAGTTATGAAATAATATCAAAGATAAAATAAAAAAAAGATGACTTAACTGAAGAGAAGAGTAGTCGACCTTCGGATCTCACATGTAAGTAAAACTGCGAAGTTACGGCGGCTTTTTCTTCACCTCAAGTCAATCCTCATCCTCGAACACCCACACAGGGGAACATCTCAAAGACTCTGAGTTTTATGGACATGCCTTCATCATCCATTAACTTTTCTCCGCGCTAAATGTGATCTTTGGCGTCTCCTTCCCAAGTGGAGTAGGTGCCCAGGCTACTCAAACTATACCAGAGAAAACCACCAGGAGTCGGAGCACTACACCTTCCATCGTTGGCTTGTGTTTATAGTGTCAGCTGCACTCTCGCAAGCGAAGTCTTGGCACGCACAAAGCTCAATTCGTAAAACTCCATGCCAAAATTCGAAATTTCACGCCCTTCGAGGTAATATCCTTCCTTTGCATCATCTTGTAAACTTGTCCTGATCCCTCTCACGTCCATCCAAAAGAACTGTCTCCCAGATTTG